CCGCGCCGCTGCAGGGGCCGCTGCAAGTGCCGCTGCAGGGCCAGGCCTGCCCCGCGCCGCCGCAGGGGCCGCTCCAGGTGCCGCTGCCCGGGCCCTTGCCGTGCCAGGACGCGCGCGGCGGCAGCGTGGTGTACGAGCGCGTGCGCACCTACAGCGGGCCCGGGGGCCGGCGCGTGCAGCTGCTGGACCCCCCCGGCGGCCGCTCGCCCCGCGCGCCCTCGCCCTTCGAGGCCGCCCCGGGCGGCCAGCACGTCGTGTGGAGCTGCGACCCGCCGCCGCAGGTAAGCGGGCTCTCGAGGGGCGCGCCCGGCCGTGCTCGGGGCCGGCCCCGCTTCCTGCCCCACCGCCGCGCCTGCTCGGGGGCTTCTGGTTCACACGCTGTGCGCACCGCGCCGATCGCGCGCTCCCCCTCCCCCCGAGAGCCGGGACCGTCGCAGCGTCCCTTCGCCTCTTCCGTCGAGCCGCTGTTTGCTTTGCTGGGCGTGTGACCGGGACGGACGGTAGCTGCTTCGGCGACAGGCACGCACGCACGCCGGTTCCCAAGGTTCCCTTTCACACGTTATGCTAGGGCTACGCGGCGCTCCGTGCAAGCAGGAATGCGTGCCCTGGCTGGAGGGCCCCTTCCCCCCCCCCCTTTCCCATCCACCTGGTTCTGGCCTTGCAATGCTGTCTTTAAACAGGTGTGGGCAGCGGCTTCCCTCTAGCCTTGGTCAGTGCTGAGGGATGCTGGGAGTTGTAGGCCAAGAGGGCCACAAGTTGCCCACCCGTGCTTTTAAACGCCCTGTCCCGTCCAGGCTTCCTGGACTGCTTCCTGGTTGCACCTCAAAAGCATGTAAAGGAATTGTAAAGGACCCCAAGGCAGCTCACTTTTACCTTTTTGGATCCCTCCAGAAGGCTGCCGGGGATGCTTGGGCACTAATAGGCAGGGGCCACGGTGGATCTAGCAGGTTTCATTCTGAGTCCCTCTGCTCCTTTCCCTCCGTGATGGTCTTGCCTCCCTTCTACAAGCGCACGATTTTTCTCGCTGGTTGCTATTGGAGGTGGAACAGAATAAAGGCATTTTATAACCATTGGTCATCCCCAGGTGCCAGGTTCTTCCCCAGCAAAATCACCATGAAAGGCGCTGCTGTTACTTTTGAGAATAATTTCTTAGACTAGATCCAGCACATGGGAGGCATTATTTAACATTTCTTGTCCTTATTAATTAAGGGACTGCAGGTGGCGCAGTGGTTTAAACCGCTGTGCTGCTGGGCTGGTTGGTTGAAAGGTTGCCGGTTCGAATCTGCACAACGGGGTGGGTTCCTGTTGCTCCGTCCCAGCTCCTGCCAACCTTGCAGTTTGAAAGCATGCAAATGCAAGTAGATAAAAAGGTCCTTAATTATATTTGTATCCCTACAAACAACCTATGCTGATCTGCATGATCTTCTTTCACCACTCTGTCTCAACCTCAACCTGGTGAGGTAGGTTTGATGGAGCGTTGGAGACTGGCCCGGACTCAGCCAGAGGGTGGCCAAAAGGAAACTAGAAGTCAGAGCTCCAGAATCCCAGTCTAACTTTCTAGCCAGTAAGGCACACTGGTTCCTTACATTTTTTTCTGCATTCAGCTGAAGTTGCTAGTTTTTTCAAGGAGGAACTGTAATGTTCTGAAGTGAAGTGTTTGGAGATCAAGGGTTTTGTCTTATCAGGCTGCAGCATTCTGGAATAAAAGATGGTTTCGGTAAATTTTTTTTAATGGTTTGGCCTTTTTTAGTGCTTTTTCAAGCTGCTGTTCAAGACTCCCTTTTCCCCAAGGCAGAACACAATTATTAATATAACAAATTGATAAAGTCATCAAGAGCCAGCGAGGTGTAGTGGTTAAGAGTGTGGGACTGGGACCTGGGAGATCAGGGTTCTAGTCCCCATGAAACTCATTGGGGGACTTTGGGCCAGTCACAGACTCTCAGCCCAGACTACCTTATGGCATTGTTCTTGTGGAGATAAGATTGAGAGGAGAAGCATTTTGTAAGCCACCTTTAGTTCTTTGAAAAGAAAAAAAGGTGGGGTTTACTATATAGTCAATAAAAGAATCCACCTTAAATTTAAGAATGATCTATTGATAGCAAACTGTGTTAAAACAGTCTTGCTGGCCTTCTGCCCCAAATTATCATGTGAGGCACCAGTATATTTTAGTTTTTCCATGTATGGAAGTTTAATTTAGTGTGCATAGTGTTTAAAATGTGCATTCAATGCTGAAACTGTTCTGCTTTGTGTGAACAATATTTGTGTGCACATACAAAAGGTTTAGGACAGGAGAAGCTCAAATAAGCCTCCAATGCCTGAAACATGGAACTATTTGGCTGTTTCAGGGAGTTTATTGCTTTATTATAGATCACTTCTACGAAGGAATTTGTTCCTTTGGGCATATGTTTATATATGTGGAAGGTGGTGTGAGGTCACGGTATGTATCAAAACCTGTGGGGTTTAGAGCATTAAAGATACAAAAGTAAGCTTTGTAGAATTCATTGGGACTTGGTATTGGATTGCAGCCAAAATGAATTTGGGAATCTCTTAACTGAATCATAGAAAAGTAGAGTTGGAAGCTGCCATGAAGGCCATCGGGTCCAACACCCTGCTGTTGCAGGACACCACATTACACCATCCCATTTGGATGGCTGCCCAGTTTCTTTTGAATGTCTCCAGTGTGGGAGAGCCTATCACACCTCTAGGCAGCTGGTTCCACTGCCGTATTGCTCTGCAGTGAGGAAGCTTTTTCTGATGTCCAGCCTGAATCTGGGTTGTCACAGCTTTCATTGATTAATCTGTGTCCTGCACTCTGGCATCAGCAAGAAGAGATCTTGACCTTCCTCTTTCTGACAGCCTTTCAAGTACTTAGAGAGTGATATCATGTCCCCCCTCAGTCTTCTCTTCAAAAGGCTGTCATAGGGCAGTGTTTCCAAACTCTGGATCATTTTTTTGCCCTTCCCTGAGCCCTTTCTAATTTACCTGCATCTTTTGGTGCCCAGAACTGGACTCAGCATTCCAGATGAGGTCTGACTAGGGAGGAGTAAAGAGGAACCTGCTTGTAACAGCATAGTGTTAAGAGGAAAAGATACAATCTGCCTTTAACTGGGTTGTTTTCTATTGTTTTCTGTTGGCTGGTAAACTGATTCGAAAGAGATACTGTTGCTGGTCACAACTTTTTGCCATTGCAAAGCTCTGAGGAGACGAGCAAGGGCACAGTTCAGCTTTGTGTTAGACACAGCTTGGATCCACACAGATCCTGGCAAACAGGTTTGCTCACTGTCTGCATGGGGAAAAGTAATTCCCTGGGCAAGAGTCCAGCAAGGCCGGAAAGTGCAGCTCAGCTCTTACGTAGCTTTCCTGATGTAGCTGCAGCATAATAAAAGAATGGCAGAATCCAACTAGGTGGGCTGGCCCCATAAGGTGCATATATAAAACTCAGCTTTTAGGGCAGAGCTTTGGGAGCGAAAGTCCAGGGCCTGTTCCAGCACAATGAGAAGCAGGGCTGTCAGAATGCAGCAGGCTGATTTCATGTTGACGTGAAGGAATGCATCCAAAGACCAGGGTTCCTCTAAGGACCTTTAAGCAACGTGGAAAATTAACCCACCAGCTGCTAAACAGGGGGCTCTTGTGTCGCCCCCATTCTCTCACGGTCGGGCAGCTCCCATTAATTTCACCAGGATTTTGCTTAGGACGCCTTCCCAACGGATGGTGCCCCTGAAGACACAATCTGCACATGGTTGACCATTCAGAACTTCCCAACATTCTGCAGCCTGCTGGCTGGGGGATGATGGGAGTTGTAGGACTTTCCCAAATGAAAGTTTTCAGCAATTCATGGAGGAACGAAAAGAATTATTGCTTTATAGACCACAGCAAAGCCTTTGTGAGGTTCAGGAGAAGCTGTGGATGGTCCTGAAAGGAATGGGGGTGTCTCAGCACTTGATTGACTTGACTTGATTGTATCATGGACAAGAAGCTACTGGCAGGAAAGAATATGGAGGAAACATGGAATATGGAGGGATGGATTCCTATAGGCATAGGTGTCAGACAAGGGCATATTTTATCTCCCTGGCTATTTAGTCTGTACACAGAATATATCATATGGAAAGTCAGATTAGAATCAGAAGGATGAGAAGAGAAAATTGCTCCAAAATCCATCAACAATTTAAGATATGCAGGTAATACCATATTACTAGTAGCTACTAATTGAAACAACGCCCGATAAAAGTGAAAGAAGCAAGTGCATAAGGAAGGACTGCCGCTGAATATTAAGAAGGCAAAAGCATGACAGCGGAAGAAGTACAGGACTTCAATGTCAACAGTGAAGAAATTGAAATTGTGAAAGGGTTTGCTCAGTCAGCAGTTTAAATGGGGACTGCAGCCAAAACTTCAAAGAGTGAGGCTTGGAAAGGCAGTCACGAAAGACCTGGAAAAGATCAGCACATGTAAGACAGCTCACTGGAGATCAAGTTCAAGATTGCCTCTATTAGTGTATTCCTGACCACTCTGTGTGTGTGTGTGTGTGTGTGTGTGTGTGTGTGTGTGTGTGTGTGTGTGAAAACTGCTCAGTGTAGAAATGCCCTGGACTGACAGAGAGACAAAAATGCGGATCCTAGTTTTCAGCAAGGATCAAATCAAGCCTAAAACGATCCTGGAAGCTAAAATGAGAAAATGGAGGATGTCATAGTTGGGGTACATCATGAGAAGGCAAGACTTGTTGGAGAAGAGGATAATGCAAGGGAAAGTCAAAGGGAGAAGATGAAAAGGAAGGCCAAATATGAGATGACTGGACCCATAAAGGAAGCCACAGCCTTGAACTTAAAGAACTGAGTGGAGCTGTCACAGAGAGACATTTTGGAGCACATACAAAAAACACAGTTTTAAGGAAGCACATTTAGGGCTGCCCCTTGCCAGATTAGCAACCAGATTAACTAGGCAGTAAGTTCAAAACATTGACTCAAACGTAGAGGGCAAACAATTCAATTTTGTATATAGGGAGGGTGACCTGTAGCCATTTCCTTATTCTTCTCCTATAAATAAACAAAGCACACAGGCACACAGAGAAGAGGGCCACCTTCAGAGCACCGCAAAATCAGTGCAGTGGATCCCTGTGACTCAGAACCCCATTCATGCAAACACTCTGTCCTTTGGACTTTACCTGCGGCACACTTGCCAAAAGAGCTGGCCACTTCCACGGTAAACACTGACTACCGTGATGTAGTGTATCAGTGATCCTCCCACACTGAGATAACACTGTTCACAAGAACTTGCTCTGCATACC